CTGACCATATGACATTCTCCCAATCCTCTTCTGGATCATCCAAATGCACTCTAGCAAACTTCAGACGGGCCTGGACATGTACTGGCTTAAGTAGGGGGACACGTCTGGAACTGCCGGATTTGAGTCCCTGGCGGCGTAGTGCGTTACTGATGGTAGGCTTTGTTACTTTGGTCCCAGCTCTCTGCAGGTCATTCACTAGGTCCCCCCGTGTGGTTCTGGGATTTTTGCTCACCGTTCTTGTGATCATTTTGACCCCACGGGGTGAGATCTTGCGTGGAGCCCCAGATCGAGGGAGATTATCAGTGGTCTTGTATGTCTTCCATTTCCTAATAATTGCTCCCACAGTTGATTTCTTCAAACCAAGCTGATTACCTATTGCAGATTCAGTCTTCCCAGCCTGGTGCAGGTCTACAATTTTGTTTCTGGTGTTCTTTGACAGCTCTTTGGTCTTGGCCATAGTGGAGTTTGGAGTGTGACTGTTTGAGGTTGTGGACAGGTGTCTTTTATACTGATAACAAGTTCAAACAGGTGCCATTAATACAGGTAACGAGTGGAGGACAGAGGAGCCTCTTAAAGAAGAAGTTACAGGTCTGTGAGAGCAAGAAATCTTGCTTGTTTGTAGGTGACCAAATACTTATTTTCCACCATAATTTGCAAATAAATTCATTAAAAATCCTACAATGTGATTTTCTGGATTTTTTTTCCTCAATTTCTCTGTCATAGTAACGTGTACCTATGATGAAAATTACAGGCCTCTTTCATCTTTTTAAGTGGGAGAACTTGCACAATTGGTGGCTGACTAAATACTTTTTTTCCCCACTGTAGGTAAACTGGGATAATACTAAAGAGTTTGTCACTAAACCGATGTGGATGTGGTGGAGGAGTCAAGCGCAGGAAACAGAGGTTTAGTCCAACAAGACTTTAATCGTCTAAAACACACGAGTAGAAAACCCCGACCTCGAAAATACACGAAGTGGCGAGGGAGAATTACGCACACGCGTAAAACACTAAACATGAAACAAAACGGAATACAAACACGTAGCATCGACAAAGTGGCAACAAAATAACAACACACAATTACCCTAGAGCAAAACAAGGAACTTATAAGACACGTAATCAACACCCAAACAGACACAGGTGTGACAGACAGACAAAAGCAATCAAATACAGACACATAGAGCGGTGGCAGCTAGTACTCCGGGGACGGCGAACGCCGAAGCCTGCCCGAACCAGGAGGAGGAGCAGCCTCGGCCGAAACCGTGACAGAGTTAATCAGGTTGATTTTTCCACAAATAGACAGGTATTTACCTTTCCATGGTAGCAAGATCTTATCTATTTTTGCTAACTTTCTATTAAAATGTATTAGAGTGCGATCATTTATTTCATTTGGGATATGTATTCTGAGTATATCCACATCACCATCAGACCAATTTATTGGTAAACTACATGGTAATGTAAATGTTTTATTTTTTAGTGATCCAATACGTGATATAGTACATTTATCATAATTTGGTTGTAATCCAGAGAGGTTAGAAAATGTATCTAGATCCTCTATGAGGCTGTGGAGGGATTCAAGTTGTGGATTTAAAAGAAACCATCATTTCCAACGTAGCGTCCATGTAAAACACCTGTCTGATTAGAATGAATAGTGTCCGACAATACCTTTTTTTTATTCTATGCGCTATAAATTGAAGTGAAGTGTAAGGGGCCTCCAAATTTTTTAATGGATCTTTATATTTCCCACTTGTATCCTGTTTCAGTAATAATGAAATAAGACCTTCTTCTTGAGTGTCTGATAATCTACCATTTACATAGGAGTGGTTAAAACATGCTAATAACGGTCCTCTGAGCATATCAAAAAAGTTTGCTATAGCCATTTGTATTGATACGCTTTTAACATTAGGATTCTGATGAAATGGTAAAACAAAAACCCCTTCTTGGTTGACTCAAGCTATCATCTAGTGGGTTATCTAATAACCTCCATCTCGGAGGACACTAACATTTAAAATGTCTAGGGAGGTAAACCCTCCCTCGACTCAATACATTTGAGGAATGCACCCTCCCCCCACTTTGTGCTCTCCTCACAGCTTAGGGGCAGCATGCTCGGCAGCATGCTCTCTCTTTCTCTCCTTTCCGAATCATAATTAAAACACTTGATAAATTATCCAACCCAATTTTAGAATTACAGTCCTTTGTGCTTCATGTTGAGTCCATCAATCGAATTCGAGACCATCAATTTAGCACACACCAACACTGTTAGAATGTACCTTTACGAACAAGGAACATATAAAAACAGAATGTACTACTTATATTATTATTATTATTATTATTCACTTTTCTCATTACAGCCACCGTTTGTCCCTGTTTTACTGTAGCTAGTGGCATGTTAATGACAGATCAGTATCTCAATGCATTTTTAACCTAAATTACCTTGAATTACTCCAAAATCAACCGGATACCCCAAATAAACAGTTTAGGGCAACCCTAAATCAATTTACAGGCACAGTTGACACCCCTCTCCTTCCCGGCACTCATCTTCTGGCGTATCTTCATTTTCTTCTTCAGATAGCGTTACAGTTCATCTTCCCAACGGCACGCATGGAACTCATGCCTGTCACAATTGATGTCCATTGATAATGTCCTGATTTCAATATCTGCGGAATAATCAGATTTTCCAAGCACACAAATCTCTCACCTGAGCCGCCACCATCATTCTGTACAGTCTATTATGTCTGGTCCATTTTCCCACCAGTACACCAGCAGCATGAGAGAAGTTTGACGTGATCTCTCTTCATGCTCACTCCACATGCACGGTCTCAGGACTCATGCCGCACTCCTGCTGCTCGTACATAGGTTGCTGGCTCGGACTCAGGTCTCACGTAGGAGTGGTGAAAGACAAGGTCGTATTGAACGCCTGTGTCGCTATTTCTTCAGCCGGTTATGGGGGGTTGAAGCTCACACTGTTCTCGTCGTTTTATTCCTTCCATGCATATAGATACTATCTGTAGTCACTATCGCCATAACTTCGAGAGAGAACAGACCAAAACAACAGTTTAAGGCATTTCTGATTCAGAAAATTCAAACAACTACTTACCGTATGCCAAATTATTACCTTCCCAATTTTCTTAATACAAGATTCCTAAGACAAATGTCAAAGAGAATAACAACACACTGTTGACACCATTTTCCAAATTGGCTTATACTCCCTTATCATACTGGCGACCTCACCGCAGAGTTACCGGGTCAGGGAGTTAGAGGGCTAACCCTTAGGGAGAAACCCGGCCATACAGCAAACCCAATCTGGTGAAATGTTTATCGAAACAAAGACCAAAACAAGAACCAAAACAATAACAGCTATACACTTCTTCATATTATACTTAAATCTCACCCAATGTCTCTATCCTTTCTAGTGAGTTTGATCAGGCCTCACCAGAAAGTCAGGACAAAGGTCATTCAACACCGTTATGTATTTTCTTTCCCTTTTCTTTCCCTGTACTTCAGAAACCATTTAAAAAACCATTTCAAACATTTCTATCATTCTGCTTACCCAGTTTACAACCAAATTCAAACGACTCTACACAACAAATCAAACATGGTATTAACACCACTAACAAATATTCATAACCTGTGGGTTGTGTGTGCGTGCTGGTGTGTGTGGTAAAACGTAGGGCAAAAACAAACAAACGGCCAGGCCTTACTTATCTGGGAGCTCCCTTTACGGCATGATCCGGATACCTTTATACTTCATAAAACTGCAGAATTTCACTAACTGCTCTCCCAAGACAACAGTCTCGGGAAACATTTCAAAGAGAGAGACAAGGACACCCCATCCTCTTCTGGAAGAGAAAGTGTACATTTCGTTAGTATTCCCTATGCTACATCTTAATTAGCAACACAAAAGTTCTAATTGCAAACAAAACAAAATAATGATAAGCGCTGTTACAGGAGGGAGTCGCAGTTCCGGAGCGACCTACTAGGTGTCATCCTCCGACAACCTTAGGCACCTCCTCACTCACAGTCTGGACTAATCAGTATCCTATTGGTGTCACCTGTGTCTACCTGTTCACCTGTGTATTTATGCCCTCACTTCCCTTTGTTCCCTTGCTCAGTTTTCTCTGTTAGTTTCTCAATGTCCAGCAGTACTACTGAGTGTCTGATCGGAGACCTATATACAGGTATTCGAGAAGTGTTCTCTCTGTTTCATTATTTGTTTCAGTTGTAGGTAGTATTTCGTATTTTTGCTGTCAGCCAGCTTTTGGAGACATATTTGCTCCACCTTTCTTTTATTGTGATAAGTCCGTTATTTTGTATTTTGGCTTCGGGACCACCAGTAAAGATCCTTGTTTCACCATCCCTGCCTACTGCCTACTGTATATCCTGCACCACACCTGGGTCAAACCTCACACCAACCCTTACAGAAAACTGAGCCAATATGGACCCAGCGGAGGCAGCACAATATCAGAGCGCATTAGCAACACAGGGAGCCATGCTGAACCAACACGACCGCAGCCTGCAGCAGATCATCAAGAATCTCCGCCAGTTGACAATCACCGTGCAGATCCGGGTGGACACCTGACCAGCCCTGGCAGCCGGTGGAGTGGAAGCCACGGGAGCGGCGTCTCCAGTCTCGACTGCGACAACACGGGAACCCCGCCTACCACCTCCGGAGAGGTATGACTGACGTCCAGAGTGCTGCAGGGAATTCCTCACCCAGTGTTCCCTGATATTCAGCCTACAACCCTCCTCCTTCCCTACGAAGCAGGGCCGGGTGGCCTAGATCATCACTCTGTTGACGGGTCGGGCCCTTTCTTGGGCTACCGTGTAGTGGGAGAGCCAAACTCTGGCGTGCTCCGACTCCTACCGATTCCCCCGGGAGCTAAGCAAAGGTGTTCGACACCTCTCGGGTGGTGTCGGGGCATTAAGCCAGGAGGCGACTCACGGCCGCAGGATGGGAGGAGGCCACCCTTGTCGTCCTTTATGTGCAGGGGCTATCGGAGAAGATGAAGGACAAACTCTCCTTCAGGTAGCTGCCTGAGCGACTGAACGGCCTCGTCGAACTCTCGGTGCGGGTAGACAATCGGCATCGTGAGAGGGCGCATGAGAGAGGGATGACGCAAGACGCGCCTCCGCATCCCCCTGTCAACCCAGAGGCTTTCCGCCGATTGAGGGAGGAGATGCCTCAGGAAGAGACTATGCAGTTGGGGGGCAGAGGCGTCTGCGCCAGTGACGTTGCCTGTACTGCAGCCAGGCAGGTCACCGCTGTGACTCATGCCCGGAGAAGCCGGGAAAGGGGCGGGCTCGCTAGTATAGGGAGGGGTGCTAGCGAGCCGGAACCGAAACCCCAACTCCAGAGACTCCCGGACTTTTCTCCCCGTCATGGTTCTGGGGCTGCTGGAAACCTGTTGGACGCAGGGCTGGCCCAAGGGTGGAGCGTTCCGTTACTCTCCCTCTCCAAGCCGGCTCCAGACATAGCCTGGATGGCCGGCTGTTGGGGTCGGGCTTCATCACCCGGAGCACTATCCCTGTGCGTGTCCGGGTGGCGTGGTGGCTATGGGAGGATATCCAGTTTTTCATTGTGGACTCTTCAGAGTGTCCCTTTATCCTCGGGCACTCCTGGCTGGTTGCCACAAACCCCGGATTGACTGGTCCACGGGGCGGCTCATCCTGGAGGGAGGCTCCGCCCCCATCCTGTTCCGATCTCCACCGACCACACATTAGCCCAAACCACCATCCCAGACCACCTACCAGTCCTCACCTCTTCCCCAGGTCCCGCACTCCGAACCGCTTACAGCCCTAGCGCCGGTTTCCACCGGGAGGACGGCGGCTACAGACTCCGTCACCGGCCCAGACCTGGCAGACGTTCCCCGGGAGTATTGGGATCTGGGGGAGGTGTTTAGTAAGAGGCGTGCCATGGGCCTACCTCCGCTATCAATCTCCTACCGGGCACCATGCCCACACGAGGGCGATTGTTTTCCTTGTCCCAGTCGGAGACGCTGGCCATGAGGGAGTATATTGACGAGGCTCTCGTCGAGGGTCACATCCATCCCTCTACCTCACCCGTGGGCGTGGGCTTCTTCTTCGTGGGGAAAAAGGACGGTGGGCAGCGGACGTGCATTGATTACCAGGCACTCAAAGACATCACTGTTAAGAACCGCTATCCACTCCCCCTGATGACGATGGCATTCGAGTCATTGCAGGGAGCCTGGGCCTTCCCCAAGCTGGGCTTAACAATGCCTACAACCTGGTGAGGATTCGGGAGGGGGACGAGTGGAAGACGGCTTTAAACACACCCAGTGGGCATTACGAGTACCAAGTCATGCCGTTCGGTCTAGCCAACGCGCCTGCGGTGTTCCAGGCATTGGTCAATGACGTGCCCTGGGACCTTCTCGACTACAGCGTCTTTGTGTATTTGAATGAAATCCTAATATTCTCAAAGGACATGAGTGACCACCAGCAGCACATTCGGCAGGTACTCCAACGCCTTCTCCGTCACCAGCTCTACGTCATTGACGGAGAATTGCGTGTTCCACACAGAGACAGTTTCCTTCCTGGGGTTCATCGTCACCCAGGGGGACCTATGGATGGACCCAGCCAAGGTCAGCGCGGTACTGGATTGGCCTAAGATCTCATCCCTCAAGCAACTACAGCGGTTTTTAGGGTTCGCTAATTTTTATAGCCGATTTATTCGCAATTTTAGCTCCCTAGCAGCTCCCCTGACACCCCTCCCGCAGATGAGCGTGCGCTACTTTGCCTGGACCCCAGAAGCGGGGAATGCATTTGATGCGCTTAAGCAGAACTTTACATTGGCATGGTCCTAGGGCATCCTGATCCGTCCCTGCCGTTCATTGTGGAAGTGGATGCTTCAGACTTTACAGTGGGAGCAATCCTGTCCCAGCAGTTCCTCACGGACGGTAAGACTCACCCCTGTGCGTTTTTCTCCTGCCGGATTTCCCTGGCGGAGCAGAATTACGACATGGGGAACCGTGAGTTGCTAGCGGTCAAGCTCGCCCTGGGGGTGTGTAGGCATTGACTAGAGGGGACCGCACATCCATTTGTCGTATGGACGGACCATAAGAATTTAGCCTACATTCAGGGGGCCAAGAGGCTCATTTCGCGCCAGGCCAGATGGGCGTTGTTCCGGTTCACCATCTCATACCGTCCGGGTTCAAAGAACACCAAGCCTGACGCGCTCTCCCAGCAGTTCGACCCCGTGGAGCTGGTGGAGAGGGACGACCCCATTGTCCCCAATGCCCTGATTGCTGCACCAGTTTCTTGGGGAATCGATAAGCTGGTCAGAGCAGCGCAACGGCGGGAGCCCGATCCGGGCGGATGACCATCGGGGAGGATGTACATACCCAAGGCTGCACGCTCGCGATTGCTTCAGTGGGCGCACGCATCCGACCTCACCAGCCATCCGGGGAGCGCCAGGACATTGGAGTTCCTGCGTAGGAGGTTCTGGGGGCCATCTGCTGAGGGGGATATGCCCGCCTTCATGGCTGCTTGCCCAGTGTGCGCACGCATGAAGAGCTCATGTCAGCTGCGCCGAACCCTGCCTATCCCCAATCGTCCCTGGTCCCACATCTATCTGGATTTCATTTACGCCCTACCCCCCTCTGATGGATACACAGTGATCCTGGTCATTGTGGACCGGTTTTCGAAGGCTGCCCACTTCATTCCCCTTCCCAATATCCTATCGGCCCGGGAGACGGCTAAGTTGGTGGTACAGCACATTTTCCCAAGATGTGGTGTCGGGTCAGGGCCCTCAGTTCGCCTCCATGTTCTGGAAGGCGTTCGCCACCTACCTTGGCGCCTCCATCGGCTTGTCTTCCAGCTTCCATCCCGAGTCGAACGGGCGTCAACCAGGATCTGGAGGGGGTACTGAGGTGCTACGGCTCCAGCAACCCAGCTACGTGGAGTCAGCGACTGGCGTGGGCGGAGTACGCCCACAACACCCTTCTCTGCTCATCCACCGGCCTGTCCCCCTTCCAGTGCCAATACGGGTACCAACCCCCCCTATTCCCAGAGCAAGAGGAGGAGGAGCCGGCGGTCCCGGTGGTCCAGGCCCACATCAGTCGCTGTCGCCGCACCTGGAGGCAGGTACGGGCGGTGCTTAAGCGGGCCTCAGTCAGGTCTCAACATCAGGCCAACCGCAGGCATCGCCCGGCCCCGGTTTTTCGCCCGGGACAGAGGGTGGAATCCAGGAAGCTGTCCCACGGCCATTCAGAGGCGAGTCAACCCAGTGGCCTACCGCCTGCAACATTCCATGTGTCCCTCCTCTAGCCCATCGCCACCTGTCCCCTGGCTCCCCCTCCTCGTCCTGTTCCCCCGCTGCGCCTCGTCGGAGGACAGCCGGCTTTTGCTGTGGACCGGATCCTGGACTGCCGGAGGGTGGGGAGGGGTCTCCAATTTCTGGTGGAATGGGAGGGTTATTGGCCGGAGGAGCGGTCCTGGGTGCCCAGGAGGGACATTCTGGACCCAGGGCTGATAACAACATTCCGTGGTCTCTCTTTTCCCCCATAATTTTATGTAACCACCGTATTACCATGCCCTTCATGTTCATGAACAAAAATGTTAAAAGGTCAATGCTCTCACTTGACAGAATTGCTTTTTCAAAACTATACTAACAATTACTCACAATATTAACTCCACTCTATTTTCTCGTGACCCCTCATCCCTTTCGTCAATTCTATGAATCTATTTCAGAATTCTAACTTGTTACCTTTTAGAATCCATTCCCCTGGTATTTTGCAAAGATTCTTCCAACCCCAAAATTGGTTCCACACCCGTTGCCATGTAACAATATCCGGGTATTGTTACTGGTCCTATGGTCAGAGACATGGGTAGTAGTCGTATCGCTTTCGATTCTGCCCCTGTTACCTTGCTGAATGTAATAATTTTCCCTATTGCAAATTTAGCCTAATTCTCATCGTAAGGAATCAGTGATATTTGAGCGCCGGTATCTATTAGAAAGTTGTGTGAGACGTGGCCTCCTAAATCTCCCTACACATAGAAACCGTAATCTCTATGATCCACCATTGATCGAACTGAGGCCATATACCGCTTTGTGAAAGTTTCCTTTCCCTCTGCTTTCAAGAGTGTTTGCTGCTGTTCTTTTGTCAAACATTCCCTCCGAATGCAGCGGGTGCAGTAGGCTCCAGTACTACCCTACACTCATTCTTCCAATGACCAACAGACCCACATCAAAAACAGGGATCTGTTGCCCTACACTTTGATGTTTTTTCGCTACTTTTCCCTCCCTTTTTCTTTGTCTTACCTTGGCCATTGAAACCACTGTTAGTGACTCTCACTGTGGCTAAATTAACCACACACACAGCTGTGAAGTAATCGGAATTAGATTCCACTCTCAAAGCCTCCTGCTAATACACTCAAATCATATCAACAACATTTGAATATCTTTTTTATTTTCTAACCATGAATGAGGCTCCTCCAGAACTTATAGGCAACCTTTTATACTAGTACACAAGCGTGACAATTTACCCATCCACACACACTCTACTGCCTCATGTCCACTGCGGCTGGGACTTTCGTCCCTCTTACAGATCTCGCAGGGGAATACCCCCACTAGGGACCTATCCTACACGGAACCTACCTGTGACGAGGTGTGAATGAAGGAGTCAGGCGCAGGAGGTAAAATACCGAAGTCCAGAGTTTATTCCGTTTACATAAATCAAACGCCCCAAGCGTCAAACGAAACTATTACAAGGTAAAACATCCACCTTGCATAAACACAGTGAATAGTAGCTCAACCGAGCTACACGCTCTCACAACAAACAATCACTCACAAAGACAAGGGGAACAGAGGGAACACTTATACACATACTAATTAGGGGAATGAGCACCAGGTGTGTGTGATTGACAAGACATGACAAGTGGAGTGATGAGAATGGGATCGGCAGTAGCTAGTACTCCGGTGACGACGAACGGCGAAGCTTGCCCGAACCAGAAGGGGGGGCAGCCTCGGCGGAAGTCGTGACACTACCCTAGACTGTAGTGTCACTCATGGATATCGCAGAGAACTAGCTCCACTCGGGACCTATCCTTAAAGGAACCTACCCTACACCATATATTTACGACTGGTCGTTACATAATGGGCTACCTAATAAACTCAGGCTTTCTAGGTCTGTATCCTATAATTGTTCAGCCTACGATTCTCATCTCCCCAAGATGTCAGAATGAGTGGTAAGAGGTTTAGGAACTGTGCCTACCTTGTTTCTGGTGCCGGCTCCTGTTTCACTGATTCGGACTCTCTAGTTCGACTGTAAATCGTGATGAACCCTGCTCACAGCGCCAACTGTTAGATTCTAAATAAACACACGGATGACTAGTAAAGCTCATACCAAGTTTATCCACCCACTGGGTCACGCAGCTGCATAAGACAAAGACATATTTACACAAGCACTGGTATTTAAACCTTCCTCCTATGCTGTCTCCTCCTTACACATCTGGACAGCCAATATGTCTCTGTTGCTAGACACGACTTTAGTCATGCCTGTTCTTTCTCACTTCATCTGACCTGACCTCGGCCCAAATTCCTCACTCCTCCCCAACTCACGGCTGTCCTGTTGACTTGTACCAGACTGTGGCCCTTCTCCTCTCCATAGGATGCCTGATGTCTAACAATAACACGTTCTGACAGAATGTAAATGTTCTGCATTCCCCTCTCTCCCTCAGTGACATGAATAACGATATTTCATATTTCAAGTTTAGAAGTCAGAACCCATGTGTTCAGAGGCTTGACTTCAAGGCACAACAGGACAGGCGTTATGTCTTCAGAGGCTTGACTTAAGGACACAACAGGCTCATCATGAATTGAGGGTGTTGGAGAGAGCTCAACTATTCTGCTGAGGGCAGGACAGGATTTGACTGGGAACACAAAAAAACAATACAGAACACTTAGATAAAAGAGCTATGAATGACTGACAGTCCAAGCAAGGAGTAAAATCAAATGTATGTGTAATAATGTGATTGTGTTATTAATTTCATTGACTGTTCATAAAGTGATGGAATAAAATTCACAGGGCTACTCACAGTGCTTGGAGAGGAAACATTCAATGCTCCAGTGGATGGAGTTACACATTAATCAGAACTGAAAATGTAATTTAGTCTACATACAGTAATGAAGACGGGCTTCAGTTCTTCAGAGGGCAGGAGACCAGGGGCTTCTTTTATGCTTATGTTGTGATTGAGTAATCATTTTACTGTTCATGCCAAAAGAGTTGATGAGGGATCAGGCTGGCTTCCTCTCCTCAGCTCCTCTCCTTCATCTACACACTTATCTGCTTACATATGGGAAGGATAAAGCAACATTAATGATGCCTAGATGGTTTCATCTTTCAACAGTCAAATACCTCCATATCACTACTGATTGGGGATAGAGACAAGAAGAGGATGGCACTTTAGACTATTGACCCAGAGAACTGAGCATACTGTAGACAAAACATGGCTTTGGTCTAATCATAAAAAAAGGTATAATAGAAAAACTTTCTTGTGTGCTTTAAATAAATGTCACAGGGCTACTCACAGTGCTTGGAGAGGAAACATGAAATGCTCCAGTGGATGAGTACTCACTTTACGAATCATGCCAGGAGAGTTGAAGAGGAATCAGGCTACTTGAACAAGGAAGTTACTGTGGGGTCCAGGACAGGCTCTGGCATCAGACAGGATTGAGGGCAGGTGGTACCAAAGTTTTCCCACAGGCGTCATACTGGTGCACATCTATCAGGGGGCTTTAACAGGGTACATTTTCAAGACACATGTAGAGATTATCCTAAATGAAAATGACATGGAGAATATTACTAAACAACTCACTTGTAAAGATCACATGGCAAGAAGTGGCTGTTGGTAGGTGGGTGGAACGCTGGAAGTGCTGGTGTCATGCATGTGGCGTACTGACGATGCTGATGGTGTACTTGTAGTTCTGGTGGCGGCTGAGAACATTTAGATGAAACATCAAATTACATCACCACCTCATCTTATGTGTTATTTGCTGAACAGTATTACATATCACATATGACATGGAGATCTTCATTGTTATCCAATATCTTGTATTGATGACAGACTAATAAAAATATATTTTACAGTCACTTCAGGTATTTGCCCTATCTGAGCTTTGTGTGCTGGTACTGGGGGTTCCTGGGCAGGAGGAACAGGGTGACGATACCTTCATGTGTCATTCTCTGCATCCACCAGGAGTTTCCAGGCGCTGAATGAGTCTACACAGGATTCATACCCCCCCTTTACTGAATCGGGAGACGTGTCTCTCAACCACTTCAGCTTTTGGTGGACTTTCAAACCGTGCGTTCAGCTTCTCGGGGATGGACATCTGCTGGAGCTCCTCGGCATGAGCACCAAGGTCAATGAGCACCTCACTGAAGAGGTAATTCATCAGAGCATCGATGTAGTCTGAAATTGTAATTAGAATGAAAGATTGTTCCATATTGTTTACTGAATATTGTTCATACATTGTAATTTTAACATTCAAAGTAAATTGATAATAAATACTTTATAATTTCTTTACTTACGGTATGTTGACGAATACACCCTTCTCAATTGCATAATCCTCACATTCTCTCTCCTCACCCCCTTCTCAAAACCTATTGGAGGAGAAGGTCAGAGAGGAGGGACCCCTGAGAAAAGGCCCCTGAGTCTCACCACAGAGCCAGGAATCCCTGGGTCCGCCACAACTGTGGACCCCATTCCTGAGGGACCCTGTTTCCTCCAGGGCCAGGTGAGTGGAGTTGTATGCCAGTGGAGGAATGATGTTGACCAATATGAGCTGCAGAAGCTTCCTCTCTGAGCTGTACTGGCAGCATATGTAGCGTAAGAAGGCTGCACATTATGTCTTGTTGAGTGTATACAAGATGATTGACAGCTGAGGAGACGTATCCCGCCAACACAATCACAGTCAGCAGCTTATATGATTGTACATTCTGAAAATTATTTGAAATTCAACATTGTATATTGAATGTGTATGAGCGGCGCACAATTGGTTCAGCGTCGTCCAAGATAGGGGAGGGTTTGGCCGGCAGGGATGTGGGTTCGTTTCCCATGGGGGGCCAGTATAAAAATACAAATAAAAATATAAAAACATGTATGCATTCACTAACTGTAAGTCGCTCTGGATAAGAGCGTCTGCTAAATGACTAAAATGTAAATGTATAGGAAAGGGAGGGGATGGGATTGTAGGGAAGGCAAAAATATATAAGCAAAATTGAAATTAGGATTACACTGAAAATAACCCCAAAATGTATGTCACAACCCAACACACTGGGTTGTTTGAACCCAGCAATATAGTCTAATTTACCCAGCAGCTGGGTAAAGCGCTCAACCCAAGGAGTTGGGTTAGAAGCACAACCCAACCCCACTGGGTTGAATTAACCCAATGCTGTTTTTGACCAAAATTGACCCAGCTCTGGGTTGTCAAAATGACCCAAATTGGGTAATTGTTAACCCAGCATTTATTTTGTGTAACAAATTCATTTAGGAAAATAATATCAATTTCTACCTTTTTTTAAGACATTTCAAATAAAATGTTTTCAGTATCCTAATTTTGTTTGTTTTGTGTTTTCTGATTGTTTCAGTGCATGCGTTCAATAAGCTTTGGATGAAGGACTTCCACAGGACTTCTCCGAAGTTCACTCAAAAAGGCAATAGTTCTGAACTGGGTTTGATTTGGTTTTAGTTTTAATTATTTACATTTGGTTAATTATCTTTTAAACTTCCATTGGTTGAAATCTATTGCTCATGTATCACTTGGGTCATGTAAATAATTATGTAGTTGTCCCTTTAAACATACTAATGTCAACATCCCCATAGTGTTCACATTTCTCTCATGTAAATGTTGTAGCTACAAAAAAAACATTAAATAACAATTTATTTGGGAAATATCCAATCTTTGCTCTTTTCTTCATTACCATGCTGATGATTTCAAGTTATATTGGATTTATTTTTAATCTGTTAAGACATTGAATACAGTGTTGTGATGCAAAAATCCTAGCAAAATGTATAGCGCATAGAATTAAAAAGGTATTGTCGGATATTATTCATTCTAATCAGACAGGTTTTTTACATGGAAGATACATTGGAGATAATATAAGGCAAGTATTGGAAACAATAGAACACTATGAAAAATATGGGAAACCAGGCCTGCTATTCATAGCAGACTTCGAAAAGGCATTTGATAAAGTTCGACTGGAATTTATATATAAATGCCTGGAGCATTTCAATTTTGGAGAATCTCTTATAAAATGGGTCAAAATCATGTATAGTAACCCTAGGTGTAAAATAGTAAATAATGGCTATTTCTCAGAAAGTTTTAAACTGTCAAGAGGAGTGAAAAAAGGTTGTCCACTATCGGCATATCTATTTATTGTGGCCATCGAGATGTTAGCTATTAAAATCAGATCCAATAATAATATCAGAGGATTAGAAATACAGGGCTTAAAAACAAAGGTGTCATTGTACGCAGATGATTCATGTTTTCTTTTAGATCCACAACTAGAATCCCTCCACAGCCTCATAGAGGATCTAGATACATTTTCTAACCTCTCTGGATTAAAACCAAATTATGACAAATTTACTATATTACGTATTGGATCACTAAAAAATACAATTTTTACATTACCATGTAGTTTACCAATAAAATGGTCTGATGGTGATGTAGATATACTCGGAATACATATCCCAAAGGAAATAAATGATCTCACTTCAATAAATTTTAATAGAAAGTTAGCAAAAATAGATAAGATCTTACTACCATGGAAAGGAAAATACCTGTCAATTTGTGGAAAAATCACCCTGATTAACTCTTTAGTATGAGAAAAAAAATTCAATTTTATTTGGAACGGCAAGCCAGACAAAATTAAAAGAGCATATTTATATAATGAATATGAATTCGGAGGACAGAAATTATTAAATATTAAAGCATTAGACCTATCACTAAAATCTTCAGTCATCCAAAAGTTATACTTAAATCCGAACTGGTTCTCAAGCAAATTAGTAAGATTGTCTCACCCACTGTTCAAGAAAGGCCTTTTTCCCTTTATTCAGATTACAACCTCTCACTTTCAGTTATTTGAAAAGGAAATAATCTCCCAAATGTCACTATTTCTAAAACAAGCCATAGAAAGTTGGTTGCAATTTCAATTTAATCCTCCAGAAACGACAGAACAAATAATGCAACAAATATTGTGGTTAAATTCAAATATACTAATTGACAAAAAACCTTTATTTTTTGACAGAATGTTTAAAAAAGGTATAATGTTCGTAAATGATATCATCGGTAGGACTGGTGGAGTTATGTCGCACATGCAGCTAACAAAAACATATGGAAATGTCTGCTCTACCCAGAATTACAACCAAATAATTGCAGCCTTACCGCAAAAGTGGAAGAGGAAAGTTGAAGGGGGAGAAAGTAAGGAACTTGTCTGTCGGCCTTGCATTAAAGAACATAATTGGTTAAGGAAAACTGTGATAAATAAAAAAGTATATCAGTTTCACTTAAGGACCAAAGGATTGACAGCCGTCCCATATAGATTGCAAAATAGTTGGGAAGAGATCTTTGACGTACCGATCCCATGGCATAGTGTTTATGAACTGACACGCAAAACGACACCGGATTCAAAAATTAGAATCTTTAAATTTAAATTATTATATAAAATTCTTGCTACCAATAGAATGTTATTTATATGGGGGATACAATCTTCCCAGCTCTGCAGATTTTGCTGTGAAGAGATAGAATCATTAGATCATTTGTTTTGGTTCTGTCCATTTGTAGCTTGTTTTTGGACACAGGTCCAGGAATGGCTAAAGGATTGCAATATTTACCTGGAACTAACCTTGCAGATAGCATTACTGGGTGATCTGAAAAGTCATAGTCAATCAATCAATAATATAATAATACTTTTAGCAAAAATGTTTATTTTTAATTCACAATCTGTAGAAGCAATGAGAATAGAAAGGTTCAGAACTTTTGTAAAACATCACAGTACGGTTGAAATATATATGGCAAATAGAAATCCTATATGGATGGTGTTAAGAGATAGATGGGAGGTATTGAATAGAGTTGAAGGATGGGACTAATAACAAATAACAACAAATAATAACAAAGATAGCTAATAATGTAAGCATACTGTGTCCATAATAAGTATATAGGTTGTATGTTGGGAGCTTTTGGGAAAGAGCACAGTTAGAAAGATATGGCATTTAGAAGCAAACCGGATGGACATCATGAAAATGGTCGGAGAGGTTGAGAGTAGAAGAAGTTCAGGAGCAAAAAAATAAATAAATATATAAATATATATATATAGATATAGAATTATTGTAAAATTAACTCTGTCCATAAGGTGTAGATAGTAAGTATAGACCGGAAGTAGAGGCCTGGGCGTTGTTGTTCACTAATTTACTCCAAGTAGGGAAAGGATGGTGGGGTTGAAAAGTAATAAAGGGGAATATATATATAAAAAATAAAAATAAACATTGGGGATTGGAAGTGATGCAGACAATTACATTGATAGAAGATACAATCTATCTGCAATATTAAGCTGATCCATCAAAAAAAAAAAAAAAAAAAAAAAAAAAAGACATTGAATACATGTTTAGTATATTAACTACTTTTAATGTTATATTTTTTTTCTCTGAGAAGTAAGTTCATTTAAAGTTCTGTGATGTGGTTTATATAGATACAACATTTCAATATTGTTAACACACAGTAGCCAAAAACCTGATCTAATTTGCATATTCATACTGAGTTTGCAGCAAATAATTGCATAGCATAATTGTGTCTGTCAAACTGGTAAGGCTAACTCTTATTTCTTAAAAAGTGCTTCAACTTTCAGCACCGGACGCTATCCATATTGATTTTAGAAATAGTGATCCACACGTTGCATCATTCTCAACTCATCTTTCTAATTTATCCAATTATATTCCATTCTCTTGTTTTTATCATGGACATATTTCCACTAATATTGTAATTAAGCTTTCACGTGTGTTTTACACTTTTTATCAAGCTGTTGATGCTTGCTTCTATTTATGCCAAATCATTTGACCGTTGTAGGTTGAGATTCTTGTTTCCTGTATTCCTTTACAATTTTCTGTAGTGAATAGAGACAACCATATACCCACCTACATTATGATAATGAAGTCACCATTTTGGGTCTGGATTGGGAAGGTGTGAAACGTATCAACGAGAGAAAGAAGACAATTAATCTTACCGTATAAGTGCTCTCCAGTTTATGAGCTATTGCACTCCTCATGCCATAGAGGAGAAAATAACACCAACATTAAACTTTGATTCATTCATTGATTGAATGAAACCATATCAATACATTTGAATCATGACGGTCATATGATGGAAAACTGAAAAAGAATCAGATTTATGTTTGTCCTACATGAGGAAATCTTAGCACTTCTCACACATAAAGCCTACACAAAACATATAGAAAACACAGCAGAAAACAAACAACAGGAACAGTCAGACAAACACCTTTCATACCCTCCATCCCACCCCACACTTGCCCAAAAAATAATTACAGGTTGCATGTCATAATATTTACAGTTGAAGTCGGAAGTTTACATACACTTAGGTTGGAGTCATTAAAACTAGTTTTTCAACCACTCCACACATTTCTTGTTAACAAACTATAGTTTTGGAAAGTCGGTTAGGGCATCTACTTTGTGCATGACACAAGTAATGTTTTCAACAATTGTTTGCAGACAGATTATTTCACTTATAATTCACTGTATCACAATTCCAGTGGGTCAGAGGTTTACATACACTAAGTTGACTGTGCCTTTAAACAGCTTGGAAAATTCCAGAAAATGATGTCATGGCTTTAGAAACTTCTGATAGGCTAATTGACATCATTTGAGTCAATTGTAAGACGCTCTGGATAAGACCGTCTGCTAAATGACGAAAATGTAAAATGTAAATTGGAGGTGTACCTGTGGATGTATTTCAAGGCCTACCTTGAAACTCAGTGCCTTTTTGCTTGACATTATGGGAAAATCAAAAGAAATCAGCCAAGACCTCAGACATTTTTTTGGAGACCTCCACAAGTCTGGTTCATCCTTGGGAACAATTTCCAACCGCCTGAAGGTACCATGTTCATCTGTACAAACAATAGTATGCAAGTATAAACACCATGGGACCACGCAGTCGTCATACCGCTCAGGAAGGAGACGCGATCTGTCTCCTAGAGATTAACGTACTTTGGTGCGAAAAGTGCAAAATCAATCCCAGAAAAACAGCAAAGGACCTTGTGAAGATGCTGGAGGAAACCGGTACAAAACTATCTATATCCACAGTCAAATGTGTCATATATCAACATAACCTGAAAGGCCACTCAGCAAGAAAGAAGCCACTGCTCCAAAAATGCCATAAAAATGCCAGACTACGGTTTGCAACTGCACATGGGGACAAAGATCGTACTTTTTGGAGAAATGTCCTCTGGTCTGACTGTTTTGCCATAATGACCATCGTTATGTTTGGAGGAAAAAGGGGGCCGCTTGCAAGCCGAAGAACACCATCCCAACCGTGAAGCACAGGGGTGGCAGCATCATGTTGTGGGGGTGCTTTGCTGCAGGAGGGACTGGTGCACTTCACAAAATACAGTGAGGGAAAAAAGTATTTGATCCCCTGCTGATTTTGTACGTTTGCCCACTGACAAAGACATGATCCGTCTATAATTTTAATGGTAGGTTCATTTGAACAGTGAGAGACAGAATAACAACAAAAAAATCCAGAAAAACACATGTCAAAAATGTTATAAATTGATTTGCATTTTAATGAGGGAAATAAGTATTTGACCCCTCTGCAAAACATGACTTAGTACTTGTTGGCAAAACCCTTGTTGGCAATCACAGAGGTCAGACGTTTCTTGTAGTTGGCCACCAGGTTTGCACACATCTCAGGAGGGATTGTGTTCCACTCCTCTTTGCAGATCTTCTCCAATTCATTAAGTATTCGAGGCTGACGTTTGGCAACTTGAACCTTCAGCTCCCTCCACAGATTTTCTATGGGATTAAGGTCTGGAGACTGGCTAGGCCACTCCAGGACCTTAATGTGCTTCTTCTTGAGCCATTCCTTTGTTGCCTTGGCCGTGTTTTTTGGGTCATTGTCATGCTGGAATACCCATCATCCATGACCCATTTTCAATGCACTGGCTGAGGGAAAGAGGTTCTCACCCAAGATTTGACTGTACATGGCCCCGTCCATCGTCCCTTTGATACGGTGAAGTTGTCCTGTCCCTTTAGCAGAAAAACACCCCCAAAGCATAATGTTTCCACCTACATGTTTGACGGTGGGGATGGTGTTCTTGGGGTCATAGGCAGCATTCCTCCTCCTCCAAACACAGCGAGTTGAGTTGATGCCAAAGAGCTCCATTTTGGTCTCATCTGACCACAACACTTTCACCCAGTTCTCCTCTGAATCATTCAGATGTTCATTGGCAAACTTCAGATGGGCATGTATATGTGCTTTCTTGAGCAGGGGGACCTTGCGGGCGCTGCAGGATTTCAGTCCTTCACGGCGTAGTGTGTTACCAATTGTTTTCTTGGTGACTATGGTCCCAGCTGCCTTGAGATCATTGACAAGATCCTCCCGTGTAGTTCTGGGCTGATTCCTCACCATTCTCATGATCATTGCAACTCCACGAGGTGAGATCTTGCATGGAGCCCCAGGCAGAGGGAGATTGACAGGTCTTTTGTGTTTCTTCCATTTGCGAATAATCGCACCGACTTTTGTCACCTTCTCACCAAGCTGCTTGGCGATGGTCTTGTAGCCCATTCCAGCCTTGTGTAGGTCTAGAATCTTGTCCCTGACATCCTTGGAGAGCTCTTTGGTCTTGGCCATGGTGGAGAGTTTGGAATCTGATTGATTGATTGCTTCTGTGGGCAGGTGTCTTTTATAAAGGTAACAAACTGAGATTAGGAGCACTCTCTTTAAGAGTGTGCTCCTAATCTCAGGTCATTACCTGTATAAAATACACCTGGGAGCCAGAAATCTTTCTTATTGAGAGGGGGTCAAATACTTATTTCCCTCATTAAAATGCAAATCAATTTATAACAGTTTTGACAAGAGTTTTTCTGGATTTTGTTGTTGTTATTCTGTCTCTCACTGTTCAAATAAACCTACCATTAAAATCATAGACTGATCATTTCTTTGTCAGTGGACAAACGTACAAAATCAGCAGGGGATCAAATGCTTTTTTCCCTCACTGTAGATGGCATCATGAGGAAGGAAAATTATGTGGATATATTGAAGCAACATCTCAAGACATCAGTCAGGAAGTTAAAGCTTGGTTGCGAATGGGACAGGGAATTTTTACTAGGATTAAAGGTCAGGAATTGTGAAAAACTGAGTTTAAATGTATTTGGCTAAGGTGTATGTAAACTTCTGACTTCAACTGTATGTGCGTATCGGATGGTGTGCTCTGCCCACATAAGCCACACCAAGCATAGGCTTGCTATAAGAAAATAATGTATCCATGAAGAAACGATAACTTTCTGATGTGTATATATGTAATGTATTACATAAATGGTAACCACAGCCCTTCCGGAAATACATTTAAATTGTTTTTCCACCCTGCTCCATGTATTGAATTTATTCCATTTCAAATTTGGCTCCCAGAGTGCTAGCTCCATGGGTATTATGACGCATCTAACAGTCGTCTGTATGTTCCTAGCCATGAGTTAACCAGTCAAATTGCCAGGGTTAGAAGTTCCAAGCAAATTCTATTGATTCTGTTTCTATGGTAGTAACACTGTAATGAAACTAGTATCAAAATAGTGTAATAACATGTTACTTCAGTAATTGCAAAGGAATAGAGCTGAGTGTTTTTTGTAATTACACAAGTGGAATAGGGACTGAGATTGTTGCTTATTCCACTTGTGTAACAACTGAAACCGCTCCATTACTATGCAATTAAGAAACAATATTAATAACTAATAATAATAATAATAATAATAATAATAATAATAATAATAATAAAAACTGTAGTAGCTACAGCGTGACTAACAGGTATAAGTTCAATGTAATAAGTGTTACCCATTGTTGTTCTATTTTGATTTATCTAATTATTTTGTTTTAAAAACAGTTTATAAAATAGCCTACACAGGCTACACACACAGAATATTAATGTGAGCGTTTCATTCCATCTCAAGGTCGCTGCTTTGTATGGAGAGTGCGTCCCAGAAGACATAACCAAAATCAGAAGGGACTGGGTAATCTGACAGAGCTTCATCTGCAGGGCAACAGCTCTGCTCGGTACCATGGACCGTGTTCGAGGACACCTCCTTGCTGAAGATTCTGCACCTTAAGCACAACTGCCTGGACGTTCTACCGGAGCATGTATTGAAGTTTTTACCAGGTCTGACCTATTTAGACTTATTCTTAAATCACCTTACGTTCATTTCCAGGGACGTCTTCCTCAACTGGCCTCTCTACCAGAGAATACAGAGCAGCGGCCAAAAGGATGGGGTCGCAGTCGGGTTTACGCCCAACGTGGTCCTGGAACTCCACGACAATCCATGGCTCTGCGACTACTGCCTCAAGGGCTTCATAGAGTTCATCAAAGCTCTCAGCCCTCCCATTATCCGGATTAACTCTTACTTGACCTGCTCCAGGCCGGAATTTAGAGCCGGGAAATTCTTCCATGAGGTCGAGCTGAAGATATTCATGAAGCCCATGGCCCCACCACAGAGTCGTCCCCTGGGATTTCATGGTAAGATTTAGTCTGATCACACAATATCATCACACTTCAATATACTTCAGTGTTCTGTAAATTAGATATTGAACATGTACACTCACTTACTCATGTAGAGCAATTAGGCAAGGAAAGATCGACCCAGAGTAGATATAGGCCACTGTAATATCATAAGCATCATAAGCATCATAAGCATATAAATATAATTACTTGAAGGGACAACGCCCCTTAGACCTCTGCAATTTGACAGGAACACACATGTATACTCATCAATGGAAGTGAATGGGATATGTGTGCAATCAGTGTTTCATAGTCAAATCAATTGAAATAATCTCCATATTTGGTTTGATAAAAAATTAACATGCAAACATACCCCATTCACTTCCATTGATTGTTATCTAGCGGTGACTACGTTTAGTTGAAGTTTGTAGTGGCTATTTAAAGAAAACTGAAGCAAGGATTACAGTTTCTCCTGGTTTATAGACTACTTTCAGGGTGAGGAACTATCTAGCATCAAGTTGTAAAATCCTGAACTTGCCTTTAACTTGAAAGGGATTGTCAATTCTTATAATTATATTTCTATTATCATAAACAGCAAAGCAAGGCGAGACAAATTCTCACAACCAGAATGACGCCAACTGTGTCTTGATGATTGAGACCATGTTGGAGATTATAACATACTGCGCCTCATGTTGACATGTAGGCCTAATCTATCATTACAAGTCAGCCACTGTGTCACACAACATAATCTTTGCCATGTGAAGTAGCTGAACTGGGAGTAATGCAGAACATAAAGTAGATCAGCTTTGAGTGGACAGCAGTGCCTGTTTCTATACAGTACAGTGTATAGAGTTTTTAAAAAATCCCAAACTGGTGCTTTTCAACCAAACTCGTGATCCGATAAAATTGGAACATGGAATTGTGTGTCCACTTGAACTGTGGCTGGGGACACTAATAATATATGTATAAGTCCATTCCTCCATTCGACAACTTGTTTTACATCTGTAAAATTGCAGTGATTGAGAAGGAGCAGTTGGAGAAGGACTGGTACCAGTGACCCTACTGTTAGCTCACTACTCGCTACTGTACCATAAAGTTCCACAGCTCATGGCTGACATGTGAAACAATGATAGTGCCCTATAAACACACTGTAACAAATCTCCTGTTGTTTTTACAGTAACTTACTGGTACCAGTTGCATGTAAGTTAAAGTAAAAAAAGGTACAGTATGTTACCATGCCGTATTTTACGGTATCCAATACTGTTACTGTAATTGATTTACGGTACCAATAACGCTTCTGTAGTCATTTTATGGTAACAAATACTCTTACTGTAATCTTTGGAACCGTTGTTTTATATATACAAAAGTATGTGGACACCCCTTCAATTTAGTGGACTCGGCTATTTCAGCCACACCCGTTGCTGACAGGTGTATAAAATCGAACACACAGCCATGCAATCTAGACAGACAAACATTGGCAGTAGAATGGACTTACTTAAGAGCTCAGTGACTTTCAACGTGGCACCGTCATAGGATGCCACCTTTCCAAAAAGTCAGTTCGGAACATTTCTGCCCTGCTAGAGCTGCTCCAGTCAACTGTAATGCTGTTATTTTGAAGTGGCAACATCTAGGAGCAACAATGGCTCAGCCGCTAAGTGGTAGGGCACACAAGCTCACAGAACGAGACTGCTGAGTGTTGAAGCACGTAAAAATTGTCTGTCCTCGGTTGCATCACTCACTACCGATTTCCAAACTGCCTCTGGAAGCAACGTCAGCACAATAATTGTTCATCAGGAGCTTCATGAAATGGGTTTCCATGGCCGAGCAGCTGCACACAAGCCTAAGATCACCATGCGCAATGCCAAGCGTCGGCTGAAGTGGTGTAAAGCTCACCGCCATTGGACTCTGGAGCAGTGGAAACGCGTTCTCTGGAGTGATGAATCACGCTTCACCATCTGGCAGTCCGATGGACGAATCTGGGTTTGGCGGATGCCAGGAGAATGCTACCTGCCCCAATGCATAGTGCCAACTGTAAAGTTTGGAGGAGAAGGAATAACGGTCTAGCACTGTTTTTCATGATTTGGGCTAGCCACCTTAGTTCCAGTGAAGGGAAATCGTAATGCTATAGCATACATTGATATTCTAGGCAATTCTGTGCTTCCAACTTTATGGCAATAGTTTTGGGGAAGGCCCTTTCCTGTTTCAGCATGTCAATGCCCACATGCACAAAGCGAGGTTCATACAGAAATGGTTTGTCGAGATCCGTGTGGGAGAACTTGACTGTCCTGCACAGAGCCCTAAACTCAACCCCATCGAACACCTTTGGGATGAATTGGAACGCCGACTGCGAGCCAGGGCTAATCGCCCAACATCAGTGCCCGACCTCAGGAATGCTCTTGTGACTGAATGGAGCAAGTCCCCTCAGCAATGTTCTAACATCTAGTGGAAAGCCTTCCCAGAAGAGTGGAGGCTGTTATAGCAGCAAAGGAGGGGACCAACTCCATTTTGATATCCATGATTTTGGAATGAGATGTCCACATCGTTTTAGTCATGTAGTGTGTATATATACACTACCGGTCAAAAGTTTTAGTACACCTACTCATTCAACGGTTTTTCTTTATGTTTACTATTTTCTACATTGTAGAATAATAGTGAAAACATCAAAACTATGAAATAACACTTTTACTAACCAAAAAAGTGTTAAACAAATCAAAATATATTTTATATTTGAGATTATTCAAATAGCCACACTTTGCCTTGATGACAGCTTTGCACACTATTGGCATTCTCTCAACCTGCTTCACCTGGAATGCTTTTCCAACAGTCTTGAAGGAGTTCCCACATATACTGAGCACTTGTTGGCTGCTTTTCCTTCACTCTGCGGTCCGACTCATCCCAAACCATCTCAATTTGGTTGAGGTCGGGGGATTGTTGAGGCCAGGTCATCTGATGCAGCACTCCATCACTCTCCTTCTTGGTAAAGTAGCCCTTACACAGCCTGGAGGTGTGTTGGGTCATTGTCCTTTTGAAAAACAAATGATAGTCCCACTAAGCCCAAACCAGATAGGATGGCGTATCACTGCAGAATGCTGTGGTAGCCATGCTGGTTAAGTGTGCCTTGAATTATAAATAAATCACAGACAGTGTCACCAGCAATGTACCCCCACAACATAACACCTCCTCCTCCATGCTCTACGGTGGGAAATATACATGCAGAGATCATCCATTCACCCACACCGCGTCTCACAAAGACACAGCGGTTGGAACCAAAAATCTCCAATTTGGACTCCAGACCAAACGACAAATTTCCACCGGTCTAATGTCCAATGCTCATGTTTCCTGGCCCAAGCAAATCTCTTCTTCTTATTGGTGTCCTTTAGTAGTGGTTTCTTTGCAGCATTTCGACCATGAAGGCCTGATTCACACAGTCTCCTCTGAAGAGTTGATGTTGAGATGTGTCTCTTACTTGAACTCTGTGAAGCATTTATTTGGGCTGCAATTTCTGAAGCTGGTAACTCTGGGTCTTCCATTCCTGTGGCAGTCCTCATGAGAGCCAGTTTCATCGTAGCGCCTGATGGTTTTTGCGAATGCACTTAAAGAAATGTTCAAAGTTCATGAAATGTTCCGTATTGACTGACCTTCATGCCTTAAAGTAATGATGGACTGTCGTTTCTCTTTGCTTATTTGAGCTGTTCTTGCCATAATATGGACTTAGTCTTTTAGCAAATAGGGCTATCTTCTGTATACCCCCCTACCTTGTCACAACATAACTGATTGGCTCAAACGCATTAAGAAATAAATAAATTCCACAAATTAACTTTTAAGAAGTCATACCTTTTAATGAAAATGCATTATAGGAGACTACCTCATGAAGCTGGTTGAGAGAATGCCAAGAATGTGCAAAGCTGTCATCAAAGCAAAGGGTGGCTATTTGAAGAATCTCAAATATAAAATATATTTAGATTTGTTTATCACTTTTTTGGTTACTACATGATTCCATATGTGTTGTTTCATAGTTTTGATGTCTTCATTATTATTCTACAATGTAGAAAATAGTAAAATAATGAAAAACCCTTGAATGAGTAGGTGTTGTAAAACTTTTGACCGGTAGTATATATATATATATATATATATATATATATATATATATATATATATATATATATATATATGTTATGCTAATTCAAATTGTTTATAGTTTATAAAGGTTTTATAGAATTTTAAGTTCTGATAGCCTGAATGTTTTAACGTTGTTATTGTAGCTTAATTAACTAAAGAGCAGGACCATTTTGAATAGCTATGTCACGCCCTGGCTCTGGGGACACTGTTATGTTGAGCCAGGGTGTGTAATTCTATGTTTGTATTTCTATGTTGGCCTGAGTGACTCCCAATCAGAGGCAACGAGTGTCAGCTGGTTGTCTCTGATTGGGAGCCATATTTAACTGTCTGTCTTTCACTTTGTGTTGGTGGTTTCTTGTTCTTATTTGGTTTGTGTTCAACCGTAGACATCACGTTTTCGTCTGTTGTTTTGATCGTGTGATCATTCTAATAATTATAATGTTCGCATTCAACGCTGCGCCTTGGTCTCTCCCTGACGATCGTGACAAGCTACCACTGTATTACTATTATTCTCATTCAAACCCATGTTAATTTAGGCAAATGTAAATGGCTATAGTTCCAAAAGTATACATAGTATCAAATATCATTTGACAAGCCATATAAGTTGGACCAGTGTGAACATCTCAACATTCGTTTTGTGTTGATAGCTTAAACGGTGAAGGAGGAGATATGTCCGGGTTATAGGATAATTTTTTTACCATTCAAGTTTATGGACCTTTTTTTGACATTGCAATGCATTGGGAGCACATTTACTGTAGATATTGTTATAGTTTAAAAAGTATAAATGCTTTCAAAAAAATATTCTCAAGCGATCCGAGTTGGGGCGGTCTTGACATTTGGAAGTTGGTTTCGTATTAATAGCTTAAATCGTTTGGGGCGGAATAAATGGAATGATAATAAGAAGACATCTAGAGTTGTGCTTTGCTTTGCAAGCACACTTAATAACATATACTAATACTGTAGATGTAAAGACAAGATTCAATTGAGAATAGTCTGATGGCTGTGAGAATATTATCAATTTTCTCAGCAGTAACATATAAACTCAAAATATGCTATTCTGTTCTTTAGAAATATGTTTTTTATATATATAAATGTTCTTAGATTAAATGCCTATTATTCCCATATACTGTAATGTTGAGAACAGACAATGAGTAGGTAGTAAAATATTTATGTATATAATATCTGAGAATAGCCTAGTCATTTTATGCCAATTGTAGGCTGCTGATGAGAACGATGCTGTGAATGTCAGCAGACATTTTGGGTGTTTTCACACACGTCGAATCAGAGTTTGATTATTTGTTACAATGTACTTTTTTTCACTTGATCCGGTTGGTTTCACATTGCCAAATGTCAAACGAACTAAAATGAATAAACCAAACCACGTGCGCATTTGTTTATTGGAGAGAAAAGCTCACATGAAATCTATTTAGGATCATCATGGAGCTTCACTTTGTGTCCCAATCTCTATATTACTTTCGCTTCCGTCCTCCACCAACATGCAGGAATAAACAGTGCAATAGCTGCTCTTATAATTGCGACGTGCAGTGAAAAGGGGAGACTGGGTCTCATCATGGATTGGTTGTCACAGAACATAGCCTATAACTCCCAATCTAGAGGGTGCTGTGTAACCTAGTAATTTTAAGATTCAAATGTGTGACTTCTTTGCAAGAGGTCATCCACCTGTTCAATTCAAATCAGCATCTCAAAACATTGAGGAAAGGAGAATATGTGTGTTTTTATAGGAGGTGAAAGAAAAAAATACATGTCTTGGTGTTTTCATTGTTTGAGTTACAGTATATGAGTAGGCTATCTATGAACAATTATATTGTTGAAAAGAGGAAAGGGAGAGCTATATTTCAAACCTATTTCTGAGTTGCTAGGACAAGTTGAAATTAGCATCATAGTTATTACGGGTGTGTCGAGCAGTCGGACAAAACG